GCCTACCCCTTCGGGGATAAAAGGCGTAGTGTTATTTTATTATTCAGATATGTACCATAAAGTTGGTTATTAGTGTATGAAACACGGATAACGCAGTGGCTGGGCAACCGACTTGTATGTAAAATGAACCAACTCTATGACAACTCTTTGTGTTAACTAAAAATCGCGGGTTACTCACGTGAATATAGTGAGAAAACCTACTAGTTCCGAGCCAACGAAGTACAATGTCAAAAAAACTCATTATGTGATCCACACATCGTTTTACTCGGGCTTAGGGTTTTTTTTATACCACGACGGTGGCAAAAAAGCACACGGCCCACCTGATGGTAAGCGTGGCCTGTACACGCTTGCAACACTTGGGGTATTACATGCGTCTTGCCTACCCTTAAGAAACCTACTCACTCCCCTTAGGTATGGTGATGTATGCGAATTTGGTCTAAGTTTTGTAAATAAACACTATTATGTAAAGCAAAATATTATTGTAGTGCTCCGTTTTTTTAAAGAAAAGGAAGGAAGAAGTTACTGACTGGAGGACTGGTGGTCTGGCCTGAGGTGGTTTATTCCCTAAATACTTAGGCCCATGTTAAGATATTTGAATGAGAATGTCGTCAATATCTTATTATGTTTCATTGCTCGTTTTGTGGTCAAGTAAAATGCAAGTCAGTTTATGTTGTTAATCAGTTTATTATATTATTCCAGTAATACTTACTTATGTACATCTTTCCAGGATTTGGCAAAAGCTTTAGCAGTGCAATGCGTGGTATTCAACTGTTCAGATCAGCTCGACTTCATGGCTATGGGGAAATTCTTCAAAGGATTGGCTGCGTAAGTGATCGAAAAAAGAATAGGATTTCGATATTATTGAAAACAAAGAAATTAAATAACTCTGTATTTTAAACTGTCGTGAGACATTTTTTTTTAATTAATTGGTACGTACTCACGCAACCTGTTGATGAGGAAACTCGAACAGTTTCAAGTCACCCTCGGGGCTCATATTCGACGTTCGCTGCGTCGTGTATTGCGGAATGCTGCTCCTGGGCGCTTACTCTTGAAACCAATCTCAATGTCAATGCAATTTCAATCTAATAAAATCTCAATAATTATTCAAAGTCAACACTATACAACCACAGTCGTAGCTGTTACAATAGCATTCAGAGTACGGAATATAAAGCCAAACTCAATACCATTTACTTCATTCAATATCCACGCAATACGGATGCAATGGGCGCTAATGTTGTAACTCAAGAGTACGAAATTCCACAATACCAATGTCGATCGATCGGAATTGGATTCAAGAGTAAGCCCCCTGACCGAGTTTCCTTGTTAAACAGTTACATGAGTAATAGTAGATTAGAATTATCTTTACAATTTTATTATTTAGGTCGGGTGCGTGGGCATGTTTCGACGAGTTCAATCGTATTGACATTGAAGTACTATCGGTTGTGGCCCAACAGGTATGTATTTTTACATTAATTATGGGTAAACAGAGTAAAAATGTAAGGCCCACTTTTTGTCAGTTATATTCATTAGCCCTATGCATCCGGTCCGTCTATCTAGAACGTACCACGCTATTACAGAGCATGTCAATATGACATGTCCACTTTCGGCAGGCGATTTGAAGAACATTATTCATAAATGTTCATATTGACGGTGACGATGGTGCAAACTTAATTCGTTGGTAACCAGGTGGCGACTATACAGAAAGCTCAAATATCAAATCTGGATCGGTTCATGTTTGAAGGTGTGGACCTCCCTCTGAAACGCTCCTGCGCTGTCTTCATCACTATGAACCCTGGATATGCTGGTACGTGTATTAATTCCTAACAATTTCTTTACTCGCAAAAGCAAAATGCATGTTTGATTATGACTTAGGCTTGGTCTACTTCGCAAATACGACGAACGCTACGTCCTCCGTGAGTGATCTAGAAGCAAATGCGGAGCGGTGCGGCGCGGTGCGAAAACAACAAACTGTCGAAACCTATTGAAGTGTCCTACGTGATTGTCACGTCCGCCCGTCGGAGGCAGTGCGGAGCGGCGCGAAATGACGCGGCGCGACCAGTTGGTTGGATATTTTCTCGCGAACTGTCATATTTGAATGCTGTCATGTTTTTGTTTGATAAACAAAAATGGAGCGGAGCGATTGGCATGCACGTAGGACAAAGCCGCCGCGTCGTACCGCAACGCTCTGAATTCGCGTGTCACCGCTTCATATTTGCGTTCTCTTCCAGATCGCTCACGCAGGACGTAGCGTTGGGGATTGTTGATGCAATCTGTCATGACTTGTTGTTGCCTTGCGCTTGTCTACAGAGAGAGTAGAAATCAAAATGTATGGGAATGACACTGACAAGTGTCAAAATTTACGTTAATTCCATATAATTTGGTTTTCTATTCTACATGTAGACAAGCGCTAAATTGATTATATTACACAGGTCGTACAGAGTTACCGGATAACCTGAAAGCATTGTTCCGACCTATCGCGATGATGGTACCAGATTACGCCCTGATCGCTGAGATCTCTCTCTTCTCCTTCGGTTTCTCTGAAGCCAAGATCCTAGCTGGAAAGATTACCACCACTTTCAGACTTAGTTCTGAACAACTTTCTGCCCAGGTAAGATGCACTTAATTAATTACCGACCATTGGCTGCCAAAATATATATCAAATTGTTACATTTCTAAGTCTCGTCTAAAATTTAAATGACAATCACTTGCCCTTAGCCAGGAATGTTTTGTCAATGTTTTACCTCCTTGTCTCGGAAACTACGTAAAGCCGTAGGTCTCTAGAGCACATCTGTGATAATACACACACTTATGAACTTTAATATCTCCTGCGTTGTAGGCTAGTCTAGTTAGACAGACTGGCCACCGTGATCAAATCTATCGGGGGACATTATTAATGATGTATGCTTACAATAGGACCACTATGATTTCGGTATGCGAGCCGTGAAGACGGTGATCACGGTCGCCGGCAATTTGATACGGCAGATGCCAGACGGTGATGAACGACAGATAGTTCTCCGAGCATTGAGAGATGTAAATGTACCGAAGTTCTTAGCTAACGATTTGGTGTTGTTCAACGGTTAGTTAATATTTATTAATTTATCTAATAGTAGCGTTATATTTTATAGCCTTCCTCGATAAATGGACTATCCAACACAAAAATATTTTTTCAAGTCGGACCAGTATAAGCGCGTTCAAACAAACTAACTCTTCAGCTTTATACAATTGATAAAAGTATAACATCAGCAACCTTGGTGATTAAATATCATTTTCTTGATCGCGTGAGAAGAGGCTTTTGTTCAGCAGTGGGACACCCACAATTAGAACATGCGACTGCTTAGCAACGTGTCACAGGTTCGATTGTTTCGACCCAAATGAGACAATAGGGTAGATGCCTTATTTTATAATGCCCGTCTGGTAGATTATTTTAAATCATTAGACACGTATTTTTTATTTACTTACAGAAACGAATACTTTTGACGATATATTGATTTGAAATGTCGCATGTCGTCACTTCTATGTACATTTTATACACAGAAATGACGTTTTAGCCCCCATTCCTAAACTTTGATTCGTTTTATCTAAGTATTGTTTTATTATAATTATGACAAAATAAAAAAATACGTGTCTAATATTTTTTCATTACTTAACTTACGGAATAATTATATTTTTAATTTTCATACATTCATTTTAGTGAGTAGCACCTAACCGTGCAGTTTGTGCCACTATTGTTAATGTATATAGAAATGTATAATAATAATAATTATTTTCCTATTTAGGTATAATATCGGATCTGTTCCCACGCGTGGAGGTGCCTGTAGTGGACTACGGTATTATGGAAACGTCAATAAGAAACATGCTCATCAAAAGAGGATACGACGACCTTTATTGTGAGTCGTATAACAAAACTTAGTACGAATACTAATATAAGGTTACTATAAAATCGATCTCAACCTAAATTTCCTGGATTAAGATTAATTTTTGACATTCCTTATCAATCTAGTTCCTAATGGTTATTCATTTCGGCCGTCAGTGGCGGATGGCGATGATATTGCTTAGATTAACAGAGACCGCATAGCAGTACTCTGAGAAAACTGAGTGCCAAGCACGAATGGCTATCGCATTCCTAACGTTTTTAAGTGTGGGAGAGCCATGCTTCGGCACGAATGGGCGGGCTCGACCGGAGTGATACCACGGCCTCACAGAAAACCGACGTGAAACAACGCTAGCGTTACGTTTCGTTGTGTGAGTAAGGTTACCGGAGGCCCAATTACCCGCCTCCCTAGCCTCCCGAATCCCCGAATCCTCCACAATTCTCAAATTCTCAATTCCCAAAAGGCCGGTAACGCACTTGTAACGCCTTGGTGTTTCGAGTGTCCATAGGCGATGCCGATTGCTTACCACCAGGTGACCCGTCTGCTCGTTTACCGGCTTATGCTATAAAAAAACACGTAATAGTATCGAGCGCGTAAGGCGCTCTGATTGGTTGGTTCATTGGAGCCGGCCAATCAAAATACCGGCCAAGCCGCAATTAACTACAATCTCCAACCCGTTTGGAACGTGTCGCGGAGAACCTAACGGGTAACTGGGGCTCCGGCTCGACGTGCAGGAGAAGGAACGGGGTGGTTTTTAGTCAGTAACAGTCTGACACTCCCTCCCGCCTCACCCAGGTGGGAGCAGCCATTCGATGATTTTCTCCTCTTAAAAAAACCCATTCGGAACGTCCAAATAATGGAGTCCAGTCCAAGTCCTTCAGAGAAATTTCATTATCCACCAATAGACTGTTATAGGCTATTGCTATGATGCTTGTAGAAATAAACACTATGTTTATTTTAAAGCAGATACATAACATACATAACATCACGCCTTTTATCCTCGAAGGGGTAGGCAGAGGTGCACATTATGCCACTGTACAATGTAACACCCACTTTTCACTATTTATTTATTTGTTCATGTACACAACACAGACAATACACAGAAAAAAATATATATTATAACAAAACAGAGGTACATAGGTACTGCATAAAAAAAATGGGATTTCTTCCTGCAGCCCTGCGAAAGGAGTCCCAGTTTATGTTATGAGTCCCATGGAATAGGGGTGAGCCTATTTTAAATCAGATATTACGACATTTAACGAAAGTATTGTGCCGTAGACGGACGTAGACCAGATTGGAGATTTAGTAAAAAATGCTGAAATTAGAAGCATCCCTTTTTTTTTAAGGGGGGAAAATCATCGAATGACTGCTCCCGCCTGGGTGAGGCGGGAAGGAGTGTCAGACTCTTACTGACTAAAAACCACCCCGTTCCTTCTCCTGCACGTCGAGCCGAAGCCTCGGTTACCCGTTAGGTTCCTCGCGACTCCGAATCTAGAAGCACCCCTAGGGCCATCGCACACCTAACAAGCACGGCTCTGGCACGGCTCTAGCACGGTGTTTTTTGCTTTGGTAACACAACTATTGTAAGCATGCCGTCGACGCGCGGGCAGCTTTTTTATATTGACGTTATGAAACATGTCATACGACATATCATTTAAAGATCATATTTAAATGATAAGTTAATTGCTGGGTAGGAGCCGCGCCGGAGCCGCCTATGTCCTTAAATCGACGAGCATATATCAAGAAGTTGATGGATGTTGATGATCGAAAGATGTATGCCAGAACGATGTTCTATTGTCTCTGCCTACCCCAATGAGAAACCTGGGCCTTTAGCCAAACGTCACTTTAGCGCTTGTCTACAGAGAGGGTAGAGATCAAAATGTATGGGGATGGCACTGACAAGTGTCAAAATTTATATCAATTCCATATAATTTGGTTTTCTATTCTACATGTAGACAAGCGCTAAATGACATTTGGCTACAGCTGGTGACGATATGTATTTTCGTTGCAGCGTTTATATTTAAAGTGATTCAGCTGTATGAGACGACGGTGGTGAGGCATGGGCTCATGTTGGTCGGGCCGGCAGGAGCTGGGAAAACTAAGGTAAAAAAAAATTTTTTTTTTTTACATCGTTGCCTCACACTAGGATTTTCTCCTGTGTCGTGGGTTCGTTTACAAACATACAAGTTCACATACACATAACACCCAGACCCGACACAACAATTTGTGGATCACACAAATAGTTGTTCCGTGCGGGAATCGAACCCGAGACACGTTTCGCGGCAGCCAGTTGCCTAGCCACCGCACCAACCGTGCAGCCAAATTAGGCAATATTCATATTAAATTAGGCAATATTCATATTAAATTAGACAATACTGCTTACCCGCGCAGTGTGGTCGATGAAGTTACTCGACTAGTTTCCAACCATGGCAAGGGTCCATAATTATAGACAAATCATATTTTTTTTAATCTTAAATATGTTACACTGTACCGTAACTGGTACTTGCTATGAAAATATTTTTCTTTATTTCTTTCTCTAGTTTAAACATAAATATTACCTCTACAATCTTATTTTCACACTCATAATCTTGATGACCATACAATTTTTTCCATTTAATATTCATTAAACGTAAGAACTTGATTGGTAGAATAGATCATTAAAACCGTTAACATATACTTTTTTATGTATTACTAACTTGCCTGCGACTTCGTACGCAAAATTCCGTTTTTTCCCGTTCCCGTTCGTGATTTTCGGTAAAAAGTAAAAAAAAAGTATTGGATAAAAAGTCCTATGTCCGTATCAGCTATCAAAAAAAAAATTTTCATCCAAATCGTTGTAGAAGTTCTTGAGTTATAAATAGTGTATAATAATAATAATACTTAATAACTAACACGACCTTCTTTCATATCTTTATTATATATATATAATTCTGCTGTACGTGTGTATGTCATTGAACTCTTCCTAAACGGCTTGACCGATTTAAATGAATTTTTCTGTACGCGTTTAGATTCACAAATTAGCCCGGCAGATGGCGCTGCAGTCGGTGTCTAGGTTAATTATCAAAAACTAATTTGAATGAATTTTTGTTTATACATTTATGTAAATGGATATGCAGGACAACGTCTGTCGGGTCCGCTAGTATGTGTATAGATATTTAAAACGTAGGTGTCTTTTTTTGGTCAGTGTTACGAGACTCTTCGTGACGCATTGACTGCGATCAAGGGGAAGTTGGCTCCCGACGGGTTCCCATTCACGCCGGTGCATACTTTCGTTGTCAACCCCAAGTCTATCACCATGGGTCAGCTCTACGGAGAGTTCGACCTGCAAACCCATGAATGGTAACTCTATGTTCATAACTTAACATTACATCACACGTTTGTTTCTTCAAAAACCTTGGAATCGATCCTGAAACCCCTTGCTCACTGTGGCTACTGACACAATGTCGACCGCTTGATCAGTCGTAAGACTAATTTATAGTGGTATGATATTTGTTTTTATTAGATAATTCCATTTTAAAATGTCAAAGTAATTCATTACCACATCAATTTAACTTTTTTCATGTAATTTGAACCTTATCCGATCGTATTTAGGACGGACGGGATTCTCTCAAGTTTAGTCCGGCAAGGTATTGCTGTAGAAGATATGGACAAACGCTGGTACGTCTTCGATGGTCCAGTGGACGCCGTGTGGATTGAGAACATGAATACGGTAAGCCCTGCTTACCTAACAACCTAACATTTACATAATATAACATCAACCTTTTCAGGGGCAAACGACCAAACGAATCTACCAGTTATAAGCAATAGGCACCGGTCATGAACACACTTAATACCAGAGTTACAAGTGCGTTGCCGTCCTCGGACCGTCGCAGCAACCCCACTAATTGGGTTTATATTAAAACTTTCTTGAGGCATACTAAATTACTTATTACCTATGTATGACGAGGACCCCGACTAGTTTCGAATTCAACATCTACGCCACGGTAATATTATCATACAGTATTCCAACTTCATACAAACGGACGAAACACAAGCTATGCCTACGCATCTCGATCGTGACATGCGTGACATTCGGCATGATAACAGTCGCGACTGTGCCGCAGTGACGAACGGGCTGTGTGTCGATTTTTTTAACATTAATCTCGCGATTTTTTCACTAAAAATAAGCGCAAGTACATATTTAATATGGCGAGTAGGATATATTGTGCTGTTTTTGGTAGTATTTTTTGCAAATATTTTCGGTCGCAAATTTATAACCCCGATTTGATTTTCAAACAATAACATGTTTTTTAAAATTAAGTCTACCAATCAAAAAGCAACACGCATTTTTATTGAACATGTGGGGCCTCACAATAGTCCCCCCTTTTAACACTTCCTATTCCTTATACGAAGTATTTTATTTGTTTGTGTAAAAAGGACAAAACTAAATAGAAACAGAAAGTAGGCAAGTGTAACTAAAATACTGGAGACGGATAGCCCTAACGCACGTTTACGTACCGCGCAGCCGCAGGTATTTAATTCTGTCATGCGACCGAGTGACACTACTGTATGATAAGATAATATTACCGTGTCTACGCGGCCGCTGGCGAACGAGTCTAACGTACCAGCGCGGAGGTGCAGGTGCGTGCGCGTGAATCATGGCAAAGGGCGTGTTGGACCCGCACCGCGATAGACTCGAGTAGCCAGTAGCAACGCGACAGTCGCCACGACGCGGGTCGCTGCTTATGAATGTGAGCCTCTAGCATGGCTTGAAAATAGTCGAGTACCTCGTCAAACAGTTACGCGAGTAAGCGGATAATGATAATGAACTCACTAATTGCGGTGAAACACAACGCAAATGTTGTTTCAATCCAGAGCCTTTAGCCAAGTGTCTACAGAGAGAGTAGAAATCAAAATGTATGGGGATGTCACTGACAAATGTCAAAATTTACTTCAATCCCATATATTTTGGTTTTCTATTCTACATGTAGACAAGCGCTAAATGGCATTTGGCTACAGCTGCTGTTGTGTGTAAGGCCGTGGTATCACACTAGTCGGGCCGGCCCATTCGTGCCGAAGTATAGCTCTTTCTCGTCAATTTTGATTTACTCGCAACTTGGTTTTGATATTATTTATACTTTATTTCAGGTATTAGACGACAACAAGAAGTTATGTTTGTCTAGCGGCGAGATAATGAAGCTGACTGAACGTCAGCGTATGATCTTCGAAGTGGCTGACCTGACGGTGGCCTCGCCCGCCACCGTGTCCCGTTGCGGCATGGTGTACTTGGACACACAAGTAGTCGGTCTACCACCTCTTGTTAACGCCTGGATAAAGAGCAATCTTCCTCCGGTATGATGAGCTAAATTATCTTTTAATACCATACTTTATGTCTTTTTTTAGACTAGGGCGGTAAACAAGTAGACAGATCACCATGTCTGTTGTATAACCCCATATTATGAGATTGTGGTCGAATTACAAATCAGCCTGTATATAATAATTCTTAAACCCTGATAATAATTTATCTAATGCAGATAAATCTAATTGGAGTGTCTGTTTGTAATATTAAAATAACCGCTTTTTCCTACATGAATATGAATAAACAATCGGTAAATATATACCAAAATAACACCTTTTACAATTTTTGTCTATCTGCGTGTCCTGGCTAATCTCTGAAATAGCTGGACCGATTTTGACGGTACTTATTGGCAGGTAACTGATGTATTAAGGAGTAACATAATCTATTTTTATTTTAGAAAAACGCCGACGAAGTTGCGGGTATAGCTGGTATATTACTATAATCAAACGACTCACAGCTTTTCCCCTACTGTATTAGAAAATTCTTTTATAGATAGCAGATCCCATCCGCAAGCTGATAGTGCCTCTCATCACAACGTACTTGTACCCTGCACTGGAACTGTTGCGTGCTGAGATGACGGAGATCGTGGCCTCCATAGACTCGGCCCTGGTCCTAAAGTTCCTCGAGCTGCTGGACTTTAAACTCAGGCCTCTGACTGGAAAGGACGATAGGCCACCACCACCAGCCAACTTCCTTGCTTTGATGCGTGAGTATTTGGATTAAGAATAAAGTCTTTAACCGACTTCAAAAAAGGGGTTCTGAATTTGACCTGTATCTATGTGTGTATCCGAATACTGGTAGAAGTAATATAAGATGTTGTGTGAATGAATCCGAACGGACGGAATGAAAGTATATGATTGAGATTGATAGAAGATAGCGGACAGTTGATGAGCGAAGACGTTGCTCTATTTAATGATATTATTGTAAAAGATGATTATTTTTTAATACATAGTTTATTCTACTTTAAAATTAGTTTACCTGAAACTAGACCCTACATGTATGTATATTTGTGCGCGATTATCTCACGATTGGCGGAACCGATTTTGATACGGTTTTTATAAAAGTGTGTCTTACAGTTAGGAGAAGGTTTTAGTGTAACTATTTATTAACCTACTTCAAAATAAGAGGGGGTTGAAGTTGGTTTTTAAACCGTAGCTTATAAAATAACTATCTATGCTCTGCTTATCTTCTCTTAGTCGTAGCGTGATGTTTTATAGCCTATAGCCATCCTCGATAAATGCGCTATCCAAAACAAAAAGAATTATTCAAATCAGACTTGTGGTTACGGAGATTAGCGCGTTCAAACAAACAAACAAACAAACAAAAAACACTTCCGCTTTGTATAATAATATAAGATTATTTGAATCATCAGGTAGCCTCCTTAGTGGTAGTCTAACTCTATTTACTCAGCTGTGTTTTCAGCAAAGCTAAACCGAAGGAGATATACTAGAATCGTGTCTTTGTTCAACAGTGGATATCTTGTGAAAGATGACTTATCTTTTATAGCTCGTTTGGCGCCCTTGTGGGTAATCTGGTCCATTATTTGGTCTGTGGGAGCGACGTGTGACCTCAACAGTCGCGGTATATTCTCTGAATTCATAAGAAAAGCCACTGTTGAAAATGGACTCAAGCCTTTGTTCCCGGAAGTAGGAAGAGTCTATGATTATACGTAAGTGAGCTTTGTACCATACGTATCTCATGATTACATTAATTTGTCGCCGGTGCGTTTACAAACACGAATATAAAGATTTTAACAACTGGTGACTATTGAATTGTTGAATAATTTTAATAGTATTCACTCGCGAATCAAAAATGATACCCCTTGTTTGATAATCAGTCACGTTTGTGTCCATTTCAGCAAACATGAAAGACTTTCATTAAACAATCCTGGGTGCTTACTCTTGAAACCAATCTCAATGTCAATGCAATTTCAATCCAATAAAATCTTAATAATGATTCAATGTCAAAAATATACAACCACAAACGTAGCTGTTATATTAGTATTCAGAGTACGGAATATAAAGCCAAACTCAATACCATTTAGTTCATTCAGTATCCATGCAATACGGATACAATGGGCGCTAGTGTTGCAACTCAAGAGTACGAAATTTCACAATATCAATGTCGATCGATCGGTATGGATTCAAGAGTAAGCTTCCTGTTCTTTATTGTTATACAAAATAGTTAATTTTCATTCGTTTATTTACCAGGCTCCATGATGGGGGTTTCACAGACCCGACTGAAGACGGAGAGCCAGCCCCTCCCTACTGGTACAACTGGATGGCGAATATGGCACCTTACGTAGTCGATTCCGAATGGCAGTACGCAGGTTTGTAATACAAATGTATCTAACTGCATACTTGTCTCCACTTTTAAAATACAATTCGACTGCAAGGATTTACTATGACTTTCTCAAAATGGTGACGAAAAATAATAATCATCGACTGCACGGTTTTTGCGGTGCGGTTGGGTTACTGGCTATTCTGCAACGTGTCGCGGGTTCGATTCCCGCACGGAACAGCTCTTTGTAACATAACATAACATTACGCCTTTTATCCCCGAAGGGGTAAGCAGAGGTGCACATTACGACAATGTAATACCCAGTGTTCACTATTTATGTTATGAGTCCCATGTAATAGGGGGTGGGCCTATTGCCATATACCGGGCACTATTCCAGACTCCATGCTACTACTGGGATTTTTAAAACCCGAGACCACTTGCCCGGTAGTCGCACTTGCGACCACTCGGCCAATGAGGCAGTCTTTGTGTGTCTCAACAACTCTTTGTGTGATCCAGAAATTGTTGTTTCGGGTGCACGAAGTGTTGTTACACACGGTACCCAGTATCATGTGTATGTGAACTTGTATGTTTGTAAACGCACCCACGACACAGGATAAAAGCCCAGTGTGGGGCATCGCTTAAAAAAATGTATTTTTCTAGACATTGAAGTCCCAACACTGGATAACGTACGAAGCCAAGCGATACTAGGCTATAAGATCACAAACTACAACCATGTCATATGTGTGGGACCCACTGGTACAGGCAAGACGGTCACCATCACTGCGAAACTGGCACACGGATTGCACAAGAAATTCATATGCGAATTTCTTGTATTCTCAGCCAGGACATCTGCTAATCAGACTCAGGTAATTGAAATCCCAGCAATAAAGCGGGCTCGATGTTTTCTCCAAATTGGTTTTTTTTTATAGCATAAGCCGGTAAACGAGCAGACGGATCACCTGATGGTAAGCAATCGGCGCCGCCCATTGACACTCGAAACACCTAGGCGTTATATGTGCGTTACCGGCATTTTGGGTATTGGGAATTTGAGGATTGTGGAGGATTCGGGGATTCGGGAGTCTAGGGAGGGGGGTAATTGGGCCTCAGGTAACCACACTCCCACGACGAAACACAACACAAGCGTTGTTTTACGTCGGTTTTCTGTAAGGCAGTGGTATCACTCCGGTCGAGCCGACCCATTAGTGACGAAGTATGGCTCTCCGACACTTAAAGTTCAGGCCACTTTTATATTTTATTCAAGTGTGGGAGAGCCATGCTTCCCTTCCCCAATCTCCCCAATTCATGAATCCCCAACGATCCTCAAACTCCTAATCCTCAAAAGGCCGGTAACGCACTTGTAACGCCTCTGGTGTTCCAGGTGTCCATGGGCAACGCCGATTGCTTACCATCAGGTGATCCGTCTGCTCGTTTACCGGGTTATGTTATAAAAAAAAAACCTAATATTTTCACTGTCAACCCTCACTTACCAGTTACAGTATGCCTGTTGCTAAAGATATTATTTGATTTGATCATATTCTGGTAGGACGTGATAGATGGAAAGCTGGAGCGTCGTCGGCGTGGTGTGTTTGGCCCGCCTCCTACCAAGCGCCAGGTGTTCTTCATAGATGATCTGAACATGCCTGCACTCGAAGTGTACGGAGCTCAACCTCCCATCGAATTGTTAAGACAGTTCATGGACTTTGGAGGTTTGTTTGTAATTACCTAATTTGTCGGTAGATTTGAGGTAGAATTTTGACATAAACACCGAACAGTGTGTTTGATTATCAAGCTCTAGGTGTGTTGCTGGTGGTCTTGATTAATAAAAGACTTCGATATGATATGCAAAGACTGTATTTAAATAGGTACTGATTGTTAGCGTCAACCCATATGTGCGCACATAGTCTAATACTCTTAAACTACCACTTGAGCTTGCTGATCCTTTCCATTTAATGATAACTATTATCAATTAATTGCCTCGTTGGCCGAGTGGTTGCAAGTGCGACTGCCAGGCAAGGGGTCTCGGGGTCGATTCCCGGGTCGACAAAGTATTACTGGGTTTTAAAAATTCTCTGTAGTAGTATGGAGACTGGAATTGTGCATGCCCGGTATATGGCAATAGGCTCACCCCTTATTCAATGGACTTATAACATAAATAGTGAAAAGTGGGTGTTACATTGTACAGTGGCATTAAGGGCCGTAATTTGCACCTCTGCCTACCCCAGGGATAAAAGGCGTGATTTTATGTTATCATCAATTAATGTACAGGTTGGTACGACCGACACAATATCGGTGATTTTATGACGCTGGTGGACGTGGGTATCGTAGCGGCGATGGGCCCGCCTGGCGGTGGCCGCAACCCAGTTACCATGCGTCTTATGCGACACTTCCACTACATCTCCTTCACAGAAATGGAATATTCCAGCAAGGTATTATGATCAGCCCTTGATTTTCCATCGCTGAACTGTATTCCCCATACATGGGAGGTTTTGCCACAACATCCACGTTTGGTAGGCGTGTTTTTTCCCTTCTAACATTTTCTGTTTATACCATTTCGAGATACAGACTTTATCGTTTCGGTCAATCAACTATAGCTACTTAATTTTTTTTTCAGTATGGAATTTTCGACACAATCCTTAAATCTTGGACTCGAAATTTCGATCCAGCGAAAGCGATCAATCTAAAGGAGGGGCCGTTCCTCAAAGCTTCTTTAGATATTTTCAGTGCTTTAGTAGAAGAGTTATTGCCTACTCCTACAAAGTCACATTACACTTTCAATTTGCGAGACCTTAGCAAAGTATTCCAAGGGATGTTGATGGTGGACCCAAAATTTGTGAATGTGAGTATTGCTTTACTTACTATAGGTACCGCTTTTTTATGAGATAAGCCAGTATACGACCAGACGGATTACCTGTTGGTAAGCAATCTGCGTCGCTCAGAACGTGGAACACCAGAGGCGTGACAAGTACGCTACTGTAAATCCTGACTTACAGGAGTTGCAGCGGTTTTGTGAGGATGTGGCGGGCTTGTCCTAACAAAAAAAAGTGCGTTACCGGCCTTTTGGAGATTAGGAGTTTGAGGAATGTTATGGATTTAGGGATTGGGGATATTGGGGAAGGGGGATGGGAAGGGAGGGGGAAATTGGACCTATAGTAACCTCACTCCCACGACGAAACACAATTCAAGCGTTGTTTCACGTCGGTTTTATGTGAGGCCGTGGTATCACTCCGGTCGAGCCGGCCCATTTGTGCCACAGCATGGGTCCCACACTTGATCTCCCATGCTTCAACTAACATACATGATCATCAATAGCCAATGAGAGTCCTTTGCTAGACTATGAATCCTCTACAAAAGAAGTCTTATTAGCTTGGCAAGAACGTTGGAGATCGCAGTATAAAAGATTCAGGTTTATCATAAAACGAGGAAGAGATGTCTGATATTCTATTGTATTCATATCATTTATGTTGTTACCAGGATGTAGACGATGTGATCAGGTTGTGGTACCATGAACACCAGAGGGTGTATCAGGACCGACTGGTCAACGACACTGACCGTAAATGGTTCACTGAGTAAGTTCTATCAATATTAATTTATGCACAAGACAGTACACAGGAGATTACATATTTAAATAAATCGAAGGTTTATAGGTTCTACATCCCGTAGAAATTGCTTCCTGCAGTCCTTCGACAGGAAAAAACAGTAAAAACTAAGACACTGTACTATCTATAAGTACACAAAGTGTAGGTACTTACATAAGGTGTACTTAATGCCGCAAGATTACACTATTATCACTCACTTCAATGGACTCTCTCAAATGGCCTCACTCTAAAGAACTCACTCAAATGAATTCACTTAAATGCATTGACTCAAAAGGACTCACTCAAAAACTCACTCAAATGAATTGACTCAAATGGACTCACTCAAAAAACTCACTCAAATGAATTCACTCAAATGGACTCACTCAAAAATACTCACTAATGAATTCACTCAAATGAAATCACTCAAAAGAACTCGCTCAAATGAATTCACTTAAATGATTTCACTCAAATGGACTCACTCAAATGGACTCACTCAAATGCACTCACTCAAACAGAGTCACATAAATGCTCGATATACTTATTTGCTCTATTATCTCAGCTATCGCAGATTTGGCGTCCAATGTAATATTACTCCATTTCTGTCCGATCTAGTGGATATAGACCTTCCATTCACACTATGAGGAGAGTAGCTAGATTTCATTAGGGTCGGTTTTTCAACATACACAAGAATCTAGACTTTTTGCTGTTACTGAAATATTAAAAAAACATTGTAGGGTTTATTTGATCCAGGATAGATCTCAAAACCTCATTAGTTAACTGCACGGTTGACTGCCGCGCAACGTGTAGCGGGTTAGATTCCCGCACTCTTGGTGTGATCCACAGATTGTTGTGTCGGGTCTGGGTGTAATGTGTATGTGAACTTGTATGTTTGTAAACGCACCCACGACACAGGGGAAAATCATAATATGAATTAACATATTTTTTTAAAGTTCCTTTTGCAACGTAACCAAATCTTGCTACAACATAAGTGGCCAAAATGGTGCAACTAAAAATCGCGGGTTACTCATGTGAATATACTGAGAAAAGCTCTACTAGTTTCGAGCCACAGAGGGGCTCTACCTCACGAGCAGCGGTCGCGGCGATGTCGCGCAGCCTACTCGCTTTTCTTTTTTAAGGGGGGAAAATCATCGAAAGACTGCTCCCGCCTGGGTGAGGCGGGAGGGAGTGTCAGACTCTTACTGACTAAAAACCACCCCGTTCCTTCTCCTGCACGTCGAGCTGGAGCCCCGGTTACCCGTTAGGTTCTCCGCGACAGCCTACTGGCTAGCGTTTGCGCTTGCGTTGGTGTTATTACTTGCGTTGCGAGCCCATCGCGCCTAAAACTCCCTTTTAACATGAAATGATGTCTTTACCATTCCAGTTTAATGAATAGCAAGTTACGTTCAGAATTTAATAGAGACCCAGCGGATTTGTTGGCTAACCGGTTGATGTTGTTCGGGGATTTCATGGACCTCGGCGCTGATGATAAGAAGTATATCGAAATTGTGGACAAAGATGAGGTGGGTGCCTTATTGTATTTCTTTATGTTTAAGCTTCTGTCAGTAGTTTTGCTCATCAGCTTTATTCGGGAACTAAATGCTCCCCTCGGCTTCTGTACCGTACTTTAGTGCCAGGCAGTGGAGCATTCCTCAATAAATGAACTATCCGACACTAAAATTTCAATTTGAACCAGTTGTTTTGTATATTAGCGCGCTCAGCTAAACAAACTGTTAGGATGGCGCTCCGGGAGTCCCTTTTGGAAATGACACCACAAGTGCTGCTTTTAATTTCTTTATTTTACACTTCACAACTTTCGACTTACAATTATTACTGTGTGATATAAAACGGTGTTTGTAGTTGAATAACTTTTCTGAAGTGACTCTATGGAGGTACACTACATAACGTTAGACGTATATTTTATCCTATATGGCCAGTGGTGGGGCTTTATCCCTTAGTCGATAAATTATGCTTGCGCGTATAAGTGCCACAGGATGTACGGATTGCTTTAATTGCAATTTACATGTATAGGGCTTTGTTCATAACAATGTAAGTAGTGCTTAGATCTTTGTTAATAACAATATAACGATTGTTTAGACGGTAATTTAAAAGTATAGGGCTTTGTTACCGACAATGTAAAGTTTGTTTAGATTGCAATTTATAGGTGTCGTTCTTTGTTCTTGAGGCAGTCTTGTGAGGTTGTCTTGTAACTCGTTTATGATTTTGTAATATTTATTTATTTTTTTATTTATTTATTTAACAACTTTGGAAGACTAACAGCTAACAAAACAAAAATTAAGAAATTGTGTGAGAGTCTGACAGCCAATGACAAGTCTTCACATATAAAAAACAAACTAATACTATAAAAGAATGTGGTCGACACAGTACTCCCTACAAAATTATTATAATAATAAAAACAAACAAAAACAAAATAAAAAGAAACAAAGTACTAAATTACTAATATATACCTACTACTACACATCTGAATACTACACAGACAAATTACCTCGCAAAACATAAGTTCAATCGCGTTCCCTATTATGTTACTACATAAAAAAAGAAAGACTCAGGCACCTCCTGACCGTAGACACTTTAATATTAAAAAGGTCAAAATCATGCTGCTTGCACACGCTGTTAAATTCCTTAATTGCACGCACAAAATACGAGTTTTGCCTATAGTTGGTAGAGGAGGATGGAACACGTAGCGGTGGAAACCATCTCCTCGACCTTCCAGGAACATTGAGAAACAATCTCGCTAGAATATCGGAACTGTCAATATTATTTGTTAAGATTTTAATTAATAGGGTACAATCTCTTATTGCTCGGCGGTCCTTAAGCGGTAGGATGTGATATTTCTTACAGAGACTGTAGTAATCTTCAGACCGGTATGGGACACCCTGTTTGTTGGGATGTTATTAGTTGGGATTTCAAATATTAGGTAAACAAATTGTCTTTTTTATGAAGATAATATTTTTTGTTCACACGGCTCCACGTCAAGCTATGCATGACCAGTATAAACTAAATGTTTTTTTTTATGGCATAAGCCGGTAAACGAGCAGACGGATCACCTGATGGTAAGCAATCGGCGTCGCCCGTGGACACCTGGAACACCGGAGGCGTTACAAGTGCGTTACCGGCCTTTTGGGGATTAGGAGTTTGAGGATCGTTGGGAATTCAGAGATTGGGGAGATTGGGGAAGGGGAGGGTAATTAGGCCTCCGGTAACCTCACTCACACGACGAAACACAACGCAAGCGTTGTTTCACGTCGATTTTCTGTGAGGCCGTGGTATCACTCCGGTCGAGCCGGCCCATTCGTGCCGAAGCATGGCTCTCCCACACTTAAAACGATTTGATTGTGCGGAACGATCGTACAAACTAAGAACATTGTGACGACACATGTCAAATGATAGCATAACAGTTCACGCACATAGACTATCGACGAAAAAATCAACGGATGACGTCACAAAATCCTACATCGCACATGTGAAGTTTACATGCGAATTAACACGGATAGAAAATCCCAACGAACAACTGTTGTGCAGAAAGCCCGCCAGGCGCGTTCACCTCGACTGGGGGCTTACTCTTGAATCCTATTCTGATCTGTCGACCTTGTAATGTGAAATTTCGTACTCTTGAGTTGCAAAACTAGCACCCATTGCATCCATATTGCGTGGATATCTTTATATATATAATTCTTCTGTGAGTGTGTATGTCACTGAACTTCTCCCAAACGACTGGACAGATTTTGATGAAATTTTTTGTGTGTGTTCAAGGGGATCTGGGAATGTTTTAGATTCACAAATCAGCCCGGCAGATGGCGCTGCAGTCGATGTTTAGGTTATTTATCCTAAACAGCTGAATTAATTTGAATGAATTTTTGTTTATACATTCAAGTGGAAATGCAGGACAACATCTGTTGGGTCCGCTAGTATAATATAATAAACTAACTGGTAGTGAGTTTGGCTTTATGTTCCGTACTTTGAATGCTATTCTAACAGCTACTACAGCCCCTGTATAGTTTTGAAATTGAATGATTATTTACATTTTATTGGATTGAAATTGCATTGACATTGAGATTGGTTTCAAGAGTAAGCGCCTAGGTCGGAGGATCCTCCTTTTCCGATCTTAGGGAACTTCACTCTCTCTTCCCTAAAGTGGTGACCCCGACGTGATTTGTTTTTGTGATGTAACGACACACCATGATAAACTGGTTTTGTATGACTGTATGTAATACTAGTACTGGTTTCAGTTGGATGAAGTGTTGGCGCATTACCTCGACGAGTACAATATAGCGACCACGGCTCCTCTCGACTTGGTATTGTTCGAAGACGCCGTGGCCCATCTCTGCAGGATAGCGCGCATCATGAGACAACCCATGGCTAATGCATTGCTTTTAGGCATGGGGGGGTCAGGTTAGTGAGACTTAGCTTATTGTTGTTCCAATCTTGTTAGTATTGCACAAGAGATAATGTTAAAAGATTAAGATGTAATATTATATGCCAACTGCATTGAACAAGCGTGGTGATTAATGCTCAAAAGGTTTGAGAAGGCTTTATAGGCTGTTGATGTGTGTATGTGTATTATACTGCTATACGTAGTTTGATCTATCCATTTTTTTACTTGAAATCAATAAGATTCAGTTAGGCTATTCTGTAAGATGTCAATTTGAACTCTCGAACTGAGCTCGATTCTCGCTTGTCATTGGTCGAGACTATTCTCACAACCAATGACATGGCGGACCGCGATCGAGCTCACTTCGAGAGCTCCAATTAATATCTTACAGAATAGCTTGGCTGCTCGGAATAAGTTATTGTATTGTGGCGTCACATGTCAAAGACTACCGATGAAAACGAATCAACGGATGATGTCACAAATTTCTACACAAATTCCAACACGGATAGAAAATCCCAACGAACAATTGTTGGGCAGAAAGCCTGCCAGTCACGAACACCTCGCCTGGTCGAAGGATCCTCCTTTCCTTAGGAATCTATACTCTCCGTTCCCTAAAGTATGATCTATGAACAGTTGTTTTGCGTCTTGAAACCATTACTGTTCCCGCGGGGTTTCGTAAGAGTACACTATGGAACTGCATATTTAATAGAGACCGGGCATCAGCGTTCTATAATAAATGTATATATTTTAAACAGCGATCTCCAACTCGCTTGCGAATCGTGGAGATTATGGTTAGGATTTTCGCCTGTGTTGTGGGTGCGTTTACAAACATACAATTTCACATGCACATGACACCCAGACCCCGAAACAACAATTTGTGGATCACACAAATAGTTGCACCGCGCCAACCGTATAAATGAGTATATTGTAATGTCATCCAGGTCGCCAGTCGTTGTCTCGCTTGGCAGCTAACATGGCGGAGTTGATTTGCATTCAGATCGAGATCACGAAGGCCTATGGGTTCACGGAGTGGCGCGAGGACCTCAGGTTGACCATGATGAAGGCAGGCGCTGAGAATAGAGGCATTGTGTTCTTATTCTCTGATGCACAGGTAACATCTTCTATTCTCTGTTGAAAAGGGCCATAATATGAATTGCAGTACCGAGTTATCAGTACTATTTGGCTAGTTTCCTAGGTTTAAAATAAATTGTTTTAACTTTTCAATGCAATAAATAATCTATTATGTTTTCGGCGTACTCACGTAATAATTTGACGAGGAACTCGACTAGTTTCAAGCCATGCCAGAGGCTCATATTCATGAGCAGCATTTCGCGACGCGATTGTCGCGCTTCTACGGTAGCAGCGCGAGTTTCTCGTCAAATTATTACGTGAGTAAGCCGAAAAAAAAAAATTATTTAGTATGTCTCACGAAAGTTACAATACAAATAAATAATCAAAAAATAATCATACTCTCATCCATTGATTTTTTAATTTATCTATTTTTAGATTTTTTCTCGCTAATTTTAAGGTAATAAGTATGCTATTTGACGCAGAAATATGATGACGTCATGTTGCGATCCAATACAAAATTCATAGAAAAGTATTGTTTTTGTCATTTCAATAACAGTATTGAATTTGACTACCTGTCAACTACCGTGTTTTATGAACTGAGGCTTTTATGCGATAGAGGGCACACAAACAAAAGAATCATCTGATGTTAAGTTGTCAGTGCATTCCATGGATGTCCCAAAACTGGAAGATTATAGTGTTATATCGGCTTCGAAAGAGGGGTAGGATTTTGGAACTCACTTAATCGGCACCGTTATGCAGTTTCAGTGAAGCAGTGTATTATCATGTCAACCCATTTATTCCAGAGCACTGTATCTCCCTCGTGAAATGGATAGCAATAGCTGTCTGATAACTCGGTGTCACATTTACGAGCACCTCTGGTACAAATACTCAAACGCCACTCTTTTAAGTTGCGCTTAAGTATAGTTCTGTCACTACAAATTCTTCTAAAATGACAGGGATGACACTATATTTTTTATGGCATAAACCGGTAAACGAGCAGACGGATCACCTGATGGTAAGCAATCAGCGTCGCCCATGCACACCTGGAACACCAGAGGCATTACAAGTGCGTTACCGGCCTTTTGGGGATTAGGAGTTTGAGGATCGTTGGCGATTCAGGAATTGGGGATATTGGGGAAGGGGAGGGTAATTAGGCTTCCGGTAACCTCACTCACACGACGAAACACAACGCAAGCGTTGCTTCACGTCGATTTTCTATGAGGCAGTGGTATCACTCCGGTCGAGCCGGCCCATTCGTACCGAAGCATGGCTCTCTCACACTTAGATTTCAATACAAGTTAAAATTGAGTAGCCGTTGAGTACTCGGGCGTTATTCTGGAATAAGATAAACAATAACATTAATATGTTCCAGATAAAAATGGAATCGTTCCTTGAGGACCTAAATAACATCCTGAGTTCGGGTGACGTGCCAAATATATACGAGCCGGAAGATTTGGACAAGATATACCAGTCAGTGCGGCATGCTGTGATGGAAATGAACCTGGCAGCCACCAAGACCAACCTGTTCGGTTGCTATCAGAAAAGAGTTAGGAGCAACATGCATATTGTTATAGTCATGAGCCCTATTGGAGAGGTTAGAATAAATCGTCAATTTTTTTCAAGGAAAACCATTTGTAGAAAGCAATTTTAGTACCTATTTATTTAGATAATGTAGGAAAAGAGAAGATTTTTGTGTCAATTGTTGCAAGAACGGGAAACATGGGAGTTCTCTTAGCCTACGAAGTTGAGAATATGTCAGTGTTATTTTGTTTTTTTTTTCAGATATTCAGGTCTCGTCTCCGCCAGTTCCCGTCCTTGGTGAACTGTTGTACCATCGATTGGTTCAGCGAATGGCCGAAGTCTGCCCTGGAGTCGGTTGCGTACCATTTCTTCGAGAGTATGGGAGAACTCACAGAGGCTTCCAATGAAATACTCACGTCTATGGTGGTAAGTAGTTTTTGAGATCATTATGATCATCACCCTATCCTTGCCTAGCCTAGCCGAAAGATGTTCACTGGAAAAATAATGATTTAAAATCCAAATACTCAAACGCTACTCAATTTTAAGACCGCTTAAAATCACTATAAATACTTTGTAAAATCACATTTTTTTTTAAGGGGGAAAATCATCGAATGACTTCTCCCGCCTGGGTGAGGCGGGAGTGTTAGACTCTTACTGACTAAAACCACCCCGTTCCTACTCCTGCACTTCAAACCGGAGCCCCAGCAACCCGTTAAGTTTTCCGCGGCTCCGTATAGGTATCAGCCCTATTGGGCCCCATTCGTTATGGTCTGATGGCTCTTTGAGGCGCGCGCGGAACGCTCGGGTCTGGTCGGGCAGCGAGCTTACGGTGGCCAGAGATCGTAAAATGATAGAGATGACACGATAAAGTGCAACTTAAATTTGAGTAACTTTGGTCCTAGGTTACTGATCTCATTTTGCATTACAAATAAGATAAATTAATTTTTAACAAACGCCATGTAACTTCTACTTTTACTAACACATGCCATGTCATACAGTCAGTTTGTTGCTTCGCGCACCAATCTGTGGTGGAAGCTAGCGAGCGGTTCAAGGAACAACTGAACCGCATCAACTACGTGACGCCCATGTCCTACATGGAGATGTTAGGCGCCTACTCTGAAATGTTCCGTAAGCAACAGAAGGCCATACTGAAAGAGTCCAGTGCGCTGAAAACAGGTCAGTAGTAGCCTTTGCTTAATAAGAACCGTTTTTTCTTCTCCTCTTATAATATCTTCTGATTCACTTCGTTGCGGGAACCAAGACAGTTATTCATGTCCCTGGGACGCGCCGGACTTCAGTGTTCCGGTGTTTTCATGGTTGTATCTACTGTAGATACTGGCTTACAGGAGTTGCAGCGGTGTTGGGAGGTTGTGGCGACACTAATGTGTGGACATTTTTTATGTATTCTTAAGTGCGTAGCTGCTCCTGCGACCCTATAGCCTTAGCACGCCAGTCGTTTCCCAGCTTTGGTGTTAACCAGTAATATTTTGTAATATTATAGATTAGTTGTGAATTGTGTATTTCTTAGAACAATATAAACACAAAGTTTTAACTATTTCATTTTGGATTTTCATTGAATACACGAACTATTCTGGAGTCAAGTGAATTTAAATAAGAATACACACCACATTCTAAAAGATTGTGGCGGGCTTGTCCCAAAAAAGTATAATAAGGATCGAGAGACATAATGAATTGAAAACAACGGTTTACTCGCGATAAGTGATTGAAGATGATGACTTGAGGTAGTAAGCAAATCTACAGATAGATAGGTTATTGAAACTGAACGTAAGAAAAGGTCTACTAGATTCAAGTTAAAACGGGACTAGTATGTTCAAATAATCAAACGCCACTCAATTTGAAGTCGTGCTCAAGTATAGTTCTGTCTCTACAAATTATACTTACGACAGAACTATACTTAAGCACGACTTAAAATTGAGTAGCGTTTCAGTATTCCGGCATTAGTTATAATAAAATTAAACTCCAATTCACAGCACAAAAAATACTTTCATTTCACTAACACTGGTCGGATAAATAACATAGTTTCCACTGACTGACCTCCACACTCAATAATCAAAACGCTAATTAACCCCACCACTGTAAATTGGGTAGTTTCCAGGGTATCAAAATTAAAAATCCAATTAGACCGTCAGTTAGATATTGAAAAAATATTAGTCGCCGTCCAAGGGCAACATCAGAAGAGTCACCGTGTGTGTCGACCCTAAAGCGGCGCCACGCCGCTTTGATCGACAGTAGCGTCACTGCTGATTTAAGCGGCGCGGCGCCGCAACGCAGCGCTTGTTCCAGCATAGTAGAGTAATGTCTTCTTAATAACCAATCAGCAATAAGTTTTTCACGATGGTCCATGGCAGAGACACGTCTATCCACAATAAAAGATCACGACGAACTGGTTACCCTACAGAACGACAATAAAACGCTCAATTCACCACGCCGCAACACAAACTGCCGATTTAAGCGTTGCGACGACGCAACGCGGCTATGTGTTTCCGCCCTTAAAGGAGAACGCTTTTTTCTTAAAGATTTGAGAAATTACGACCAAATTCGATATCAAAACACCAAACAGTACTTAAAGGTTAAAGGTGATACTAGGGGACATTTACGTCCGTTTTATAGCTTGAT